ACCTACAAACAAGTTGGTGAAGTTTCTCGTGACTCCAACCTTCGGTTATTCTTCCTTTGCTTCAATTTCAAAATTTAGGGTTCGTATTTGAGAAAATTTAGGGAAAATCGATATTCAAAAGTTAACTTTAAATCTGGGTCGGTCGGGTTTTATTACGGGTTTGAATTTTTTTATTAAAAATTTTTAATTCGATTTAGGGTCGATTATATACATTTTTATTTCAAAACACAATTTTAATCACAATTCGAATAGTGAACGATTCGAATAGTGAACGCTATTTTTCAAATCTGTGTGGTGGATCAATTTAACTTTGGTTCTGTGTAGCTTTGTAAAGTTAACTTTGCGATTGTGTTGGATTATACAGAGGTCCAAAGTCTATGTGGCTGAAGTAAGAATCAAAACTGGGGGGGGGGGGGTTATAGAGCGACCATCCTTAGAAAATTAATAACTTCTAAGTGTAAATCGGTGTTGGCCTCTGATGAGTCAAAATTACATACCAAGTCGTTTCATAGCTTAATTCCCTCTTGTTTAATCGGAAGCCTCCAATAAATGCATGTAGCTCCAAAACCGGTAAGTTTGAAGTTATCCAACTTGAAAACTGAATATCTCCTTACTTGAGCTAATACTTGATTGATTCCACTTTGAGGCGTTCACTAGCTGAACTAAGAATTTAGTTCAAGTGGTTTCATGACCTGAATCGTTGTGGTTAAGCTGGAATTCATCAAACAATGGCCATAGGTATGCATCGGCTATAGTAGTAGGATAGTCTGGAATCACCCGGTTTGTAAATTATATTTCGGATTGGTCTGAACTAATATGAATCCAATTCCACTTTGCCTTGAGTCTCTGATGAGTTAAGTTTCTAGAACAATTCGTTTTGTTGTTTAACTCCTTCTGGCTCGTTTAATATGCTCCATGAAAGACATACATGTTTTTGCTAGATCCTATATGATTTGAGCAGTCAGTTTGATACTGTTCTAGTTCAATTAATGGTCTGATGAACTCTCACAAACACTAACCTCGAATACGCCGCGCTCTGAATCCAAACCGAAGACCGAGTGAAGTCCCATCTCCTACTTGAACCTGAGCCTCTTCCACAACCAACCACCAGACTCGCTTCGCCAAAGCCAGAGATCTACTCTTCCATTCTTCTCCACCACTGAGATCGTGAAGGCAACCATTAGAATATAGAGATGTAAACTACCGAAAACGAGAACACTAATCGGAATCCCTTACCGTAGCGATAGCTGCCAGAGAAGCTCTTTAATAGCTGCCAGAGAAGCTCTTTAACTCTAGATCTGTTTTCGGTTTCTCTCTCGCTTTTTTTGTTTAGCTCTTACTTTACTGATAGAATGACAATTCCATTTTATCAATTTAAAGTAAAAAAACAAAAAATTAATTAATTTTAGTTTGGACTTTGGGATGATCACAATGTTTGCGTTACTGCGGGACAAGATGCTGTTAAAACCAGGACAGACGTACACGACTGGGTTTTCAAAATCAGAAGAAAATAAAGCTCTGGACGACGAACCTGGAATAATAGCCAATTAACCCATGACAGCGTTCCCATCGTCTGCTCATATGGCTACGTGTGGCCTCTGGACGTCGCCGTCTTTTTCTCCCCGCCGGCGGTTCTGTAGCTTTTCTTGCAGTCGCCGATCTCTCTCTCCGGTGTTCAGATTCGGTAAAGAGCGTATCTCACGAAGAGTCTCCTGCAGGTACGAGGAGAAGGAGAGGGATCGGCCTCAATCTTCGGGAATTCAGGTCTACGGCGAGATCGAGAGGTAAGCCCACTTCAGGTGGATACTAGTTTCTTCATCTTTGAGCTCACTGTGTCAAATCTCAGGTTACTGACGGAGACTGTTAAACAATCTCAAAGTAGTTCCGCTGGATCCTCTGACTGGTCAGAAGTCGAGGTGTGTATTGTGTAAATCTAATTCAAAATAATTTAGTTTCGGAAATTGCTCTCAACAATTCTCACTCTGCTGCTAGGGAGCATGGGTGATCAAACCGAGAAACTCGAAACCAAAAATGGTTGTTCATTTCATTGGTGGTATATTTGTTGGTGCAGCTCCCCAGCTTACCTATCGATTGTTTCTTGAGAGATTAGCAGAGAAGTAAGTATGTGAAACGATACTTTTTATCATCTTACAGGGTCGTATTTTTCCTTTCTTTAGGCACTTTGCTTACTTAAATTAGCTATGTATCTTGATTCTGTTCTATAGACAATTTCATAAGATAAAAGAGCAAACAATAAAGAGTGAAACTTGCAGTTGAATCTGGCCTTTCCAACTGTTGGTTGTTTCATGAATTTATGATCAGGTTGTGCTGTTTTGTGCATAAAATCATTCACCCCATCTCTTGTGCAGGGATGTCTTGGTTATCGCCACGCCCTATGCTAGTGGCTTTGACCACTTCCTTATTGCAGATGAAGTACAATTTAAGTTTGATAGATGCTGCCGATATCTACAAGAAACAGTGAGCATCTCGTAGTTATCCTGTAGAAACAAGAAATCTCTTGTTTCTTTGCTCCAAAAAATAATAATCGGTGTTCAGAAATAGGACCGTAAGAATTGAATACTTGTGTCTTTTCTCTAAACAGGTGCATGATCTTCCATCTTTTGGGATCGGTCATTCACTGGGATCCGTCATTCACCTTCTAATTGGTAACTCGGTTTCAATGGTTGTGAATGTATAAAACTAACTAACTCAGCCTATTTACCTTTTATTGAGTTGGTTCACTAGTGCTTCAGGATCAAGGTATGCTGTGCAGCGAAGTGGGAATGTTTTTATGGCATTCAACAACAAGGTAAAGGGGTTTATCTCTCTTACCAAAGCGACACTTGTTTTGTTGGAAAGATATTGTGTATCCCAATCCAGTGATTAAGTCAGCAAAACCTGTAAAGGTGATATCTTTTCGGAACCCCTAATTTTACAGGAAGCAAGCTTAGCTATTCCTTTGTTCTCCCCAGTTCTTGTCCCGATGGCTCAAAGGCTTGGACCACTGTTATCACAGGTAGCAACATCCCCAACTGTCCGCCTTGGGGTGAGGTTCTGATTCCTTTGCGTTGCTTTTTAAGATGTGCATCTCTTCCCAGTTGATAGTCTAATTTATTCTCTTTTTTGGTGATAATCAATTTGTCTGCTAACCCAAAAAGTTCTGTCATGAAAGCACCAACTCCTCACTCATTGTTCCCTCCTTTTGTTTTAAAATTGCAGTAAATGCTTCTTTTAATATTTCACTCATTTAAGTCGTTACGTTACGCTTTTTACTTTGTCCATCTTCTTCTTTCATTCTTTGTTGATGGTGTTCTCAAATAACTGACAAAAAATAAACTATTTGCAGGCAGAGATGACCCGAAAGCAATTAGAAACTCTTAGTCCTCCCATCATGAAGCAAATTCTACCATTATTGGAACAGCTCCCTCCCTTGTACATGGACTTGGTAAAGGGAAGAGAAGATTTTATTCCAAAACCAGAAGAAACAAGACGCCTTGTAGGTGTCAGTTATTCGACTTATGTTTCATCATGGACCCTTTTCTCGTCTTAATCACCATCTATCACACTAATCAAGAATCTTGCTAATAATGTTCAGATAAGATCTTACTATGGAATCTCTAGGAATCTGTTGATAAAGTTTGAGGATGATTCAATAGATGAAACAACAATCCTAGCTCAGGTGCTTGGCGTGGAATCATCAATAACCTCAAAGCTAGACATGTCTATCCGTACACTGCCAGGGGATCACGGCCTCCCTCTGCAACAGGTACTGAGTTCCCTTTAATGCAACTTATTTTGCAACAGATATGTGAGCCATCACTATGAACAAGAGAATTTGGAGTGTTCAATCTAAAATAACCAAATCATACCAATATGATCTAAAAACTGAAACAAGTCTTAATTCGGTTAATGTGGTTTTTATTTTTCAGAAATCTGAAATACAGACCAAATCCGAACTGCTCCTATAAAGGAAAACTCAAACTGAAACTAAAAAATTAATATAGATTTGACTAAATAGCGAAGCCAAACAGAAACATCACAAAAGCGGTCAATAGTAGTTTTCGTTTCACTTTAGTTGCATTTTTGTAAAACTGAAACTAGAAAAACCTGAAAATTCAAATCGAACACAGATTGAACACCCCTAGTTAGAATCAATTCAGAAACCGTTGTCTTTCCTTGTTTGTGCTCTGTTAGAATTGATAATGTTGAAAGCCATTTGTATTGTTGTCTGAACAGGCTCTTCCGGATGTTCCACCAGCAATGGTAGAAGCGGTGAATAGAGGAAGTGAGTTTTTGACGAATATTGCTGTTGGGACCCCATGGGAATCTGTGGCTAAAGAGGTTGGAGGTTCACTGGGAAAGGACTCAAAGATCCTTCGTGCTGAAATGTCCAAAGATCTCGCCCTGCTTGTCGATGCTGTTACTTCTTGGATGGATTCAAATATGGGTCCAAAACTTTTGAGACCATAATGTCACTCATGTGTACACAAAACAAAATATCATATAACTCAGGGCGATGCAGTATATTTGATATTATGCAAGCAGATAACAAGAACCTAACGAATGAACAGTAAGAGACTTGTTTATACATAAAACTCCAGTTATCAATTGCTTATACTGTTTTAACTTGTCTGTGGCCACCAGTGCATATTTTGGTACTCTACATCATACAAAGATGGGGCTCCCAACTAGTTGATGCCGTAAAAAAGAGTAAGCACACTTGAAATTATTGGTCTACTGTTCGTGATACAGATACAAGCCGAGACCAAATCGAGCACATGCTCTGCAGAATGCGATTTCCTCAGCTGCAGCAACTGGATCCTCAATTTGGTCATCAGTCGTCGTTACTGTCCCAGTCGATTCACGATGTGCCTGCATTACATGAAATTCAACGGCCGAATATGAAAAAGGGGACTAAAAACTTAGTCATGTAATCAAAGTTACATTCAAAAGTCAAATAAATGAATTATATCATTAAAATCCAATAAAAGGGATTGCAATGAGGCTGAGGACTCCCAAGGTCACATCATTTTTGGTTTCTAGTCTCTTATAAATACAAAATATTTGTGCATCCTTTTATGTCTGACTTTGGCCAAGCGAGAAAAAAAGTTAAGAATCCTCTGATCCGTGGAAAGGGTCGTTGCCATTGTAAAAATATCAAAATATACACATACTAGACTCTCAAATCCCAACAAAAATATGAAATGAGATAAGATAGAACTATCTTATCATGTTTACTAACATATTTAGAGGGCGAGAGAGCTAGATATCTTGCATACGTTACCTACCATTCTCAGAGAAAGCTAGCATTAGGAATTATCCTCTAGAATGAGACAATAGAGAGAAGCAAGGTCTAATTTTCCAACAAATCAAGACACGAGCTTAGATATTTTCCAAATAATGTTATAGAAAGTGAGGATCGAGTGAATCTTGAGGAGCTTACCTCGCCATCAGAGCCACGAATGGTGAGACGATAAACGACCGTGACATTACCATTCTCAGAGAAAATGACGTCTCGAACTTCCCCACACCAACCTGCAGAGAATAAGATAATGGGTTTCAAATTAGTCTGTTTCCACTAATCAGACAGAGAATGCAATCTTCTGTACGAACCGGGAGCGTAGAAGCTGAGCATCCGATTTGCATGGTACCTACGAGTCAGTCGAAAATGAAGTGAAGTCAGATCGAAAAGCAACAACGCTTAAGAAGGGATCCAAAGAAAATAAGAGTACCAGGGGATGAAGCCAGAAGAAGCGGCAGAGGAGCGAGGATCGTGGCCCTTGACGATGTTGTCAGGGATCTTCTTGTTGAGGTCGCGAAGTATCTCGATCAGAGGCCGAGTGATGGACGAGGAGGACGAGAACTTGTCCATAGGCACCACATAGTTCGAATTGGGAACTGCCTTTTTCTTTCCGGCGTCGCCTCCGACTCCATTGGCGCTGCATCTGACGCCCCGCCACACCGTTAACATTTCCTGGCGAATCACGACGGTTCCGAGGGGGAAGAGCCGGCTGCGCGCATCGGCGGTCGAAGGCGTGGAGTTTGTGAAAGGCTTGGAGCTCTGCATCTGCAAAGCCATATCGTCGCCAAATCTGGGAGCAAGCTCTGACTTGCAGAAGAGGAAAACAAGAAAAGAGTGGACGCAATTTGTCTGCTACTTGACGTGCACTTGGGTAGTAGGTGGGATAGGTGGAAGGATGCCCAAACCAACCCCTTGTTTTGATTTACAATAAGTCGCCCCAAAACAAAATGATTTACATTTCTCTTTGATATTTGTTAACGATATTTTTATATATAGCTTTTATTTGGTACTAGGAAACAAATCGTAAATCTGAACATTCTTATTTGCAAACAATATATTCATTTAGGTTTGCTGACTATGAGTGGCGGAGCCAGCCACAATTTTCACGGGGTCTAACATTAAAAAATATCAATTTTGAGCAAATATCACCGGGTTCAATGAACTGATTTTATAACATTTCACTAGTTTTCTTAAGAAAAAGTACAAGTAATTTTTTTTTAATAGAAATTCATATGGGTCAAGTGACCCCCCTCCCCAAAAGCTACCTCCACCACTGCTGACTATTGTTCTTTTGGTTGGATTTAAAAGTTTTATTTTTTTTTGAAACTTACTGGATTTAAAAGTTAACCCAAACATTTTTCTTTTTGCAGTAATGTTCATTGTGCTTACCTAACAAATATGATATTGTATTCTTTGGTCATTTCATAACTCATAAATCTCATGTCAACGATTATGTTCTTCGATTTCATGCTATAATGGTTATTATATCCATGTTGAAAGGATCACTGCGTCATCAACTTGAAAAAAAAGGCTAATGGCTACATTAACAAGATTATTCATTTCATCACGTATGAATAAAATTGCTCCTCCTTCCATCATTTGTAATCGTATATATACAAAAAAAGTTATAGCCATTTCTTTAGTGAGCAAAAAATCAGTTTATTTTCTTCTTTTTGAGGGGTTCTACAATTAACAATTTTCAAATCGTTGTT